CACTCATTCATGTAAGACTGTTTCCACTATTATATTATACTATATATTATACTATATATATATTATACTATTATACTACTATACTCTGTGTCGTGGTATATATTTGTGTTGAGTAAATTGCATAGATGTAATACGTTGTCAGCTTATCTTGCTGCATTACTCTGTTTCAGGGTGTCGTCATCCTTCTCAATAAATTACCGAAACTGACATTGAGGAGTGTGTTTCTTCATGACGACACCATGGTGTTGTTGGATGCCCTGTCCCCGGCTGCGAGTTCAAATCCGATGACTTGTCTGAAGCACTCGTCATTGCTATATTGTCGATTCATGGATGTAACCACCAGCACGCAGCGCCTGTCAGGGCCGCGCCAGCCCAGGCCCCAGCCCCTCACGGTCCGAGACTCGATCGGCCCAAAGTTGATGTGGGCGTGTCAATCGAGGAATGGAAAGTGTTCATCCGCCGTTGGAACGTATTCCGCGCCGGCTCAGGCATAGGGGACGCACAGGCCCCCTTCCAGCAGTTTCAGTGCGCTGGGCCTGTACTTGGAGACAGCCTGTTGAAAGCCGTCCCCGACGCCGCTTCGGACCCTTGCCAGACCTGATCACCGTCATGCGTTCCCTAGCTGTCATCCCAGTTGCTACATGCGTCCTGCGCACCGAACTACTTCAGTTACGCCAGGAACGCGACGAGACATTCCGCGCATTCGCTGCCAGAGTGCGGGGTAAAGCAGAGACATGCGCATATAATGCGGTATGCGAGTGTGGTAAGGACGTGGACTATACCGACCACATTATCCGCGATGTGCTGCTCAATGGCATCTATGACTCGGACATACGCCGCAAGACGCTGGGGACAACTGGTCAAGCCAGTTAACGACGTGATTGCACTCGTCGAGAACAAAGAGATGGCCCGTAACGCTCTCCCTTCGTCCTCCCTATCAGCCATGTCGTCATTCCGGCGCCTGAAGACGACTCCACAGGCGAGCCCCGCCCCGAGCCCTGCGGACGGGGCTAAACGTGCCTAATGCCCGGAATGTAAGAGCGTCTTTAACGTCTTCACGGAGGGGCCTCGCGGGTGGAATCCTAAGCCTCACGAGGTGTGCATCGGCTGCTACAGGGCCCGCCGACGACAGAGGCGTCAACAGCCGTCATCCGACAGTCAACAGGCCGCCATAGGGTCGGAGCTGGTATCCCAGGTCTCGTCGGTGCAAGCTGGAGCCCGCCCTGGCCGACGTCGCGGGAGCCGACGCCGCGCCCCTACGTCGCACGGCTGTGTCGACAGGCCTGCACCTATCAGACTCGAGCACCACATCTTCTCCAAGGGAGAATGGAGGCGAGCCAGGCTGAGAGACCACCCCCGGGCATTAATCACCATCTCGATGGACATGCCAGTCGGGCTGAGGGATGGCACCAGCATCCGGGGCTCGGCCGACGGAGCTCGAATATCCGCCGTCGCGGACACTGGCGCGCAGTCGGACCTTTGGTCTCTGGAGGAATTCCTGGCCTGCGGTTTCGCGCGGGACGACCTACGACCCGTCAGCCTCAGCCTGTCGGCCGCCAACCGCTCCCCTATAGCCATCGAGGGAGCGTTCTTCGCTAGGCTCTCGACGACCTGCAGCGGGGGGCGTACTACATCCTGCCGTTCCATGGTATACGTGAGCAGCTCAGTCCGGGCCATGTACCTCTCCTACGAGTCGTTGCTCAACCTCGGCCTCTTGCCCGTGAACTTCCCGTCGGACGACGTTGCAGGGGGGCCCAAGGACAGGCGTAGCTAGCCCTGACACGCCAGTCCAGCCCCTGTCCGTCAATGCGACGAGATCAACAAACGGCGGCTGCGTGGGGCCAGGTGACCCCCGGGACGCCCAGTGCTCATGTCCTCAGCGCACCGTCCCCCCGGCGCGCCCCGCAGCACTGCCATTCCCTTGTACGCCAGAGAACAATAACCGGATTAAAGGTTGGCTACTCGGGAGATATGCCTCGTCGACATTCAATACTTGCCCCCATCGGGCACTACCATGCTTTTAGCCTATGTACTGTATGTCTTAATGCCCTTACAGTATATGGTAGTCCACCTCGGAAGCACGACGGTTCCCCCCGCAGGACCGTGGACCTCTCCCCCCTCAACAAGTTCTTGCCAACGTGAGACCTTCGCCACTGAGTCCCCGTTCCACCTCTGCACGCCGCCGTCCCGAAGGGCACCTGGAAGACCGTCACGGACGCCTGGAACGGCTACCACAGTGTCCCCCTGCGTGAGTCGGATCGCCACCTCACTACCTTCATCGCGCCCTTCGGCCGTTGGCGCTACACCAGGGCACCACAGGGTTTCCTGCTCGTCAGGGGATGGCTACAACCCGTCGGTTTGACGCCGTCCTCTCGGACTATGAACGCAAGGAACGTTGTGTGGATGACACCATCCACTATGACACCGACCTGGAGCAACACTGGTGGAGGACCATCGACTTCCTGACGCGTGTCGGTCCGGTCGGGCATCGTGTTGAATCCGGACAAGCTTCAGTTCGCGGAGAGGTGCGTCGACTTCGCTGGCTTCAGGGTGTCGGAATCTACCATCGAACCGCTCCCAAAATACTTGGACGCCATCCGGGACTTCCCCACCCCAGGCTCCACGACGGACATCAGGAGTTGGTTCGGCCTTGTCAACCAGGTGGCTAACTACGCCCAGTTGCGTGACACGATGGCTCCATTTAAGCCGTTCCTCAGCCCACGCTGTGTGTTCCTATGTCCCCCGTTCTGGAGGAGGCCTTCCAACGTCCAAGCAAGCCATAATGGAGGCCATCCCGCGAGGGCGTGGAGATCTACGACATGCAGAAGGCGTACCTGCCTCCGCCCTGACTGGTCCATGCGTGGCATTGGCTACTTCCTGCTCCAGCAAACATTGTCACTGTGCCTCGGGCATACCGGACTGCTGTCCAGGAGGGTGGAGGATCACCCTCGCGGGCTCGCGTTTCCTGTCCCCTGCGGAGCAGCGCTATGCGGTCCGTCGAGGGAGAGGCCCTAGCTTGTGGCCTGGGGCCTGGAACAGACGCGGTACTTCACGCAGGGGTCCGACAACCTCGTCGTGGTCACCGACCATAAGCCGTTGGTAGAAATCTTTGGCGACCGTACGCTGGATGAGATCACAACCTCGCGTCTGTTTAGACTCAAGCAGCGCACCCTCCCATGGCGCTTCGACATTGTGCATCTGCCTGGCAAGAGCAACTATGCCGCTGATGCCACGTCGAGGCATCCTTCCCCCTCGGGTTCAGCGAACGGCCTCTCATTGGGGCTGCCGAGCGGGCCTGACGCCGTGGAGTCAGCACTCATGGCCTCCATCCGCGACGACGCACGGGAGCTCGGAGCCGTCTCTTGGCCCCTCCTCGCACGGGAGACAGCGGCTGATGGCTACCTCGGCCACCTCCTCCAACTCATTGAGCAGGAGGGTGGGATTGACGTTAACGACCCTGCCCTGGCGAGTCTGTCATCGGTCTGTGAGTCCGTCTACGCCCAGGACGGCGTCCTGCTCTATCGGGACCGCGTCGTGGTTCCCCCGTCCCTCCGTGGGAGGGTCCTTCGGCATCTCCATGCCGCTCACCAGGGGACCTCAGCTATGGGGCAGCATGCCCGAGCCATAGTTTACTGGCCCGGGATGTCCGGGGACATTCAGGCCACCAGGGACGGGTGTGCAGACTGCAACCGCAATGCTCCGTCAGTACGCCGTCCCCAGAGAGCTTTGGAGCCTATTATCTGAAGATGAGTGAACAAATCAAAGCAGAGGTTAAAAAGTGAGATGAAAGAGTACAGCGTGTTCAGAAAATCCATCTTGCTCTGCCGGATTGGGTTTCCCCGGATAATAATCCAAGTTCTTTGTAGCTATGACCCTTTATTTATTTAAGAAATGTAACTAGTAGCCTAACTGGAATTATTTCTTCCTGTTTGTATGCCTTCGCTAACTTCTTGCAATCTACATCAATGTTGGATCAAAAATATATTTACTTCATCATCTGTCCTTTTGACCATTTGCCTAACATGTTCAAAATAAGCATATGAAGTAGAGGTCCAATCATGTTTTTGTTCCTTCTGTAGTACGGTATAGGTTTTTGTGCAGGTACATGGTCGGCAAAGGCTAAAATCCCTGTGTCCCCTCCAGAGGGAGTTTCTCACCCACACACTGCCTGAAACACCTCCATTGAACGCCTTTGTTTCTTTCGTATAGTGACATCACGATGTAACACTCGCACTTCTATTGGATAGCGCACATTGTACATGATGGGCTGAGGGGCGGGACATCTTCAAGCGGTTGACTAATCACCCGACCAGCTATCCAATCACAGCAGACTCTGGTTTCAGGCAGAGGGTGAAAAGAGGTGCTGCAGCACTGGCAGTATGAGAAAGATCAATAACTTTTTGAACATTTAAAGCATGTAAACATGTCTCAGTAGAGACAGAAAAATACAAATATGAAAATGAGCCCAATAGGGATGATCAGAAACATGTTAAGTGACATTACTTGATCTTATGCTAATTTTAAAGAAAATCTCTCAATTTGTTTCTGATATATTTCCTTCCTGAGAATGGGCGGTCATACAGTCATAAACACTTTAGTTATTTGTAAAGTGGTTGCTAGAAAACATCCCAAACTTTCAACGCAATGGAAGCATCTTAACCTATAAAACCATTTTTACCAGTTTATTTTTGGAGTGCGTTCAATTCACGCTTATTGTCAGTCGTTGGCATTACTCTATTAATTTGTGGTTACCTGAATGTAACAGGGACAGTTATGTCTTATTTGTATATAATATATTATGCAAATATGTCTATATAATTACACAAAATCTGTGTTTATTCTTGTTTCATCTTGTGTTAATACCTGACGCAGTAGGACTCACATCAGTATGTGGAACTATAATTTTAGCGTATACCCCTACGTTCCTTATGTATGTGACACTGTTCCCCTTTTTTTCGCGGGGTTCATGCATCGTTCTCCCCTTTTGATACTGATCTCTGTGGGAGAGGTAGGCGGCTCTTCAGCCAGAAGCAATTTCCGTGTTTTAGTGTCGACTTTATGCACTTTAAGTTACTTTTTATTACTTATTTTTGTTGTAGTGTCTCACGGGTGTTCACAATGTATTTCTGTGTTGTTTAATTTGTAGAGGGGCACGTTAAAGAGAGTACTGACTGGAGAAATGTTTTCTTTCTGTCGCTGTTTCGTCAGGAGTGAAAATAAATGTACATCCTGAATGAAGCTACACGTCTGGGTCGTCGTCTTTCTACACAACACAACGCAGAGTCAGACACAGCCGGTTACATGAAGACAAATGTCATTCAGACTGGATATATACAATATAGCCAAAATATAATTTGGTTGATTAGTTTCTTCTAAATTTATTTGCACCACTTAATATATTTTACATTGTTATCCAACAGCATTTTTATCAAGTGTCGAGTAAGATCTTTTAATCTTCACTAGGGCCATACTGGTAACAAACAAGTTAATTTTAGTTTTTTTCAATTGGTTCATTCAGCTCCACAACCGTTTGACCTTGCACTCACTGGGTGTTACAGCTCATGACTACATAAGAACCAGTTGTTCGTAATAATAAGTCTAACCCTCTTGTTTTGCCTCTGGCATATTCAAGAGAAATACTCTGATCACTGTGCTTCCTACTTTTAAAAAAAAAAAGATTAAGAGAGAGCATATTGCACTGTTTTTTGTGGTCCCTTCCTTTCTTCTGGGATCAAAAGTTATGAGATGTGCCAAATGAGTGGCCTGGGGCAAGGAACACCAAGAAACCATCAAGTTTGGTGGTTTGAGCGTGAGCAGGGGGAGCGATTGGTTTGGTTTACATTGAAATTAGGGCAGAGAAATGAGAAACTGCTGTTTACGTTTTAGGTGCACTGTTCTCTGTATTTCCATCCACACCAAGGGAAAACCTAAAGCAAGAAGTTATGAAAAATGCATAGTTGAACATGTGAAATGTGAAACAGAGCTACGACTTGCTATAGTTTACAATTTGAAATGCAGGCATTATAGATTTGCACAGGGTTATTATAGCATTCAGTCACCGGTGCATTTGGACCATCTCAAATGTTTTCTGCCAAGTATTGTTTAAATACAGTGAATAGGGGAAAATAAAGTCTAGAAGCATACTGTAGGTATTGTTAACATGATAACACCACAGCAATGTTGAATGAAAAATAATGGTCTAGAAAGATTTTGTTTACATTCTGAAATAGTAATGTATCAAATGAATGGACACATTGAAGATGTAATTACTTAAAGGGCCCTATTATGCTCAATTTCTGGTTCATATATGTATTGTGTGCCTCTAATGTGACATGTTTACATGCTTTAATGTTAAAATACTTGAATGCACTAAAAGAACATTACGTTTCATTTTAAATATTGCTTGATTGTAACAAGGACACCTAGGTGTCTCCTAACCTGCGTATAATTGAGATCATTGTAATTGTGTTTGTTTGAGCCACTGTTTATTCTTCTACACAAGTTCCTTGAACTTTTGAGCATGCCTCAATTGAAGAGTCCACAGAGCAATATGAAAGGAAGACATACATGGCCATTGTCTTGGTGTGTACCTTATAGGTGTAACTTGGTGTCCGTGTCAAAATGACCACAGGGCGTTGTGAGCTCTCATAAAGGATTACTATGCAATGAAAGATCTTAGCTTCTAGAAACTGTAAACCATGTCATCTTCTCACCAACAACGGAACATGGACAAAGAGAAGTGATTGGACTCATGTCATCTTCTGCTGCAGACGTTTTCTGTCAGAGTGACGGTGAGACTGTCCCCTGAGGATTCTACTGTCAGTCATCTGCTCAATACAGTGGGAAAATCAGGTCAAGAGAAATGTGAGGGGGGACAAGTGTTTCTCACCATATGAGGTGGGCAACAACAGACCGATTTGTGTATTAATCCACTGCCTAAAATAGTCCCAAACAAAGGCATGCTATATAACATTCATACTGTGTGAAGATTCATCTTAGTAAGGATTAATTGGTTTATGGCCGAATGCCACAGACATGATAGAAAAGTCAGAGAATATAACAAAAATGTACAGATAATACTTTTTTTGTGTGTGGGATGATGAAAAAAATGAATAATTCCACAAAAACCTAGAGATGAGCTCACTTTTTAGCACTTTCGGTTTGCTAATCTGGAAGTTGATGGCTTTAGTTGTTGTGTTTTAGGTGCCTGAAAAAAAATCTGAGGTTAAGACACATTAAAGAAATGTTCACGATTTGTTCTACGACATAAAATACATCAGTAAATACGCCTCTCATGTCTGCATGGCGGTCATAAAAAAGTCAAGTGCTAACAAGTGACTTAATGAGACTAATAAATGTCATCACACTGAACATTAGCCACCTTTAGCTTAGCTGTGGTGACGTGAAATCATATGACCATAATGTAGTTAATTTATAGCTAGCTGTTTCATTTTTATGATCGCCTTTTCTCTTCAAAAATCGTAAAAGTGGTGTTATTATGTGGAGTTTATCCTGTCGGACAAAATGTGTAAGCACCATAAATGTTTGTTTCCACAGAGGTTATTTAAAGCTATATAAAATCCAATGGAAAAATCCTTTTGTTCACTGCCGGAACTACAAAGATACGCCATCCCTGCAGCACCTTTTTCCCGACATTTTCTCATGATTTAACCAGAAATCTGTTTGGATGACAAACCATGGGGCTTTCCTTGGAAACAGTAACACCCAAGCGCTGCAGGTGTATGTGTACATGCACCTCGGATGACAAATTCTATCAAGGTGTTGAGTGCTGTGCGAGGCTCCGTATGTGTGTGTGAAAAGCCAGGTATGCTCTGCCACCTCTAATTAAGTTGGTGGAGATGCACATGACTCAGCAGCAGTTGACAGCATAATCACCCTGTGGCTCACCTGTTTATATGCGCAAACACACACTCACGCATACACACACGCATGCTTACACAAACAGTGGTAGGCTGGCGAACCCTTTGTGAACCCCTGGGAGAGTTCTCCCTCTGGATCAGGGTGAACTCTGATTCTACTGTGGAAAATAAACGGGCAAGATATAAAACACAGGCATGCTATGACCCATCATCGAAATGCCAGCCGAGGTGCTCTCTTTCCAATGTGAGTGTGTGTGAGTGCGTGTGTTTGTCTGCCTGTCTGATGTAACCTGGCAGCTCAGGTGCAAACAGAGGGCAACATGCCGTTTAGAGGTGGCAACCTGCAGCCACAGGCAGGCAAGCAAATTAACGTTCAGGCAAATTAAGCAGTAGCTATTCATGAGAGGTAAAACATAAACAGATACAAACCAACACCATGGTTGCACAGGGCTGATTCAATAAATGTTCATTTCAGAAGTTAATTGACATAATGATTGCACAGCTTTTGTGGACCCTAAACCTGCACAATTAACACAAAAAACGTGACATTCTGCCAAAGTAATAGCGTCTCTGCTCCTGTGTTATTTGCACTTAGTAAATTAGGTCATATGGACAAAGTAGTTGCACAATTGTCCCCTTTCTATGAAATTGAGCCTTAATGTAAACATTTTGCAATTCACACAGATCTGTGCCAATAGCCACACACAGTTACATTGAAAACAAGCGTCTTTACAAGAGGTATCCGGCAACTGCTTGAAATCATGCCCATTGTCTTTTAAAGTCTGAAGGTATGCTTTTAAAAACACAAGCAGCACTAACAGACCGTTATACTCTTACCTAAAAAACAAATGTCTGTCCCGGTTACATTTTATAACAGATGTTTGATGAAATGCTGTGTAGTTTACGGTCTGAAAATAAAACCTATACCCTATGTCTTGTTGTTGCTGAGGCACTTGTAACTGCAATTACATATATAAAAATAAAGAGGAGATTGGACTCAGCTATGTACAAATATGTGTTTGTTGCGCTGTAGTAGTTGGGAATGACACACAATTCATGATGCTATCAGCGCGTGATAATTGTAATTGTGGCAATTAATGACTATCCACAGCCATACCAAGTTCAGCTTGAATTACAAACATTTTTATTTTAGTTATATAACAGAAATACTGTGAATTGTTATTTTAGTCATGATATGGTATGACTCGACTGAGTGACCAGACAATCGGAGAACAAGTGTTTTAAAGTGAAAATGACAGGGAATTTATCAAAAATAAATTAAATGTGTACACCCTGACCAAGGAGACAAGTCTATTAGGTCAAAAATCTGTGTCCTTCTGGTCTCTTTGTTGAAAATGCAAAGCATTTTGGATTTTGGTAGGTTCAGTATACCTGGATCAGTTTTTGACGGTATAGAATTATAATCCTCTAATTGAATCACACTGTACTTCTTTGTTACTGCTACCGTAGGTAAAGTTGAACTCGTTGACATCAGATGTTTATAAATTACAGATAACTGTTTTGTACATTCCATTTTGTTTACATTTACATATAACTGATAATACAGTTAAACCTGATCGACCACTTGCATTGTCTGTCCCAAAGGACTATGTTGCTGTTCTAGTACAATGTCCGCGATTACAGTAAAATGGAAATGAAACGTTTGCTTAAGACAAAATGCTCAAAACTCTTAATAAAATCATGTAATGCTTGGCTCTGAAGACAAAACCAAAGACATTTGTTTTGAAATCAAGCATAAACGTATGCCCATACAGACATGTAGAATAATAAAAACACATATGTTCACACAACGCCTGCAGAAAGCCGTCACACGAGTTATATTTAGTAACTACACGCCTGTATAATTATATACTACAACTGCCACTCCATCTAACTGCCAATCTGACAGCGATAGGAATGCAGGTATGTCCACATTACCTCAACTGTTTTTCTATTTTTCCCTCAGATGTATTATAGTTCTGTTTTATGTATCTATATTGAATGCTTAATAAATGAGAAAGCAGAAAAAAAGATGCCTGAAGTAATAGTAAGTAAGTAAGTACAATTTGACCCAGGTTCCTTCGGGTCAAAATGTAGCTAATGTCACACTCCTAGGCTACATTGGTAGTTTTGTATGTTTAGGTTATGTCACGTTCTATGTCTAGGTTTGGGTGTTTTGCTGTTTTCCCTGTCATGTTTTCCTCCTGTTTATTGTCTGGTCCTTTTCCCTGTGTTTTTTCTCCTGTCGTTAGTTTCCCTGGTGTGTCTAGTTGTCTGATTATGTTCACCTGTGGCCCCTGTGTTTCCTCCTCCCTCACATGACAACAGACAGGTGAATCTGTACGCAGTTCATGACCTCCTCTGGCATGCGGCAACAATCACAGCCTCATCTTACTTTGCTCTGCATCTTTTGGCCTGACCTTTTCAAGAATAACAAGTCATCGTGTGCCAGGAAGAACCATCGGCTTGGACGAGCTCTGACGAAAGTTGTGAAATGTAAGATATGCAGGTGGTGGCAAAACACATCTTAAAATCCCAGTATGGAGATGTGCAGGAGTGGCAAGTTTGTCAATCTTATTTGTTAAAATATTTCACTAATCCCATCTGAAGAAGAAGAAAGGGCTCCGGAGAATCTGTTGATAAGTGATCAGAACTTGTGAAGCACAACATTGATTAGTGTTTGAAGGACTGCAACAACAAAACAATTAAAAGGAAGATTAACAAATAAAGATAATTTATCAAAAGAGAGGAGAGGAACCATTTCCAGTAAACAATTTCACTTTTTTCTCACAAAAGAATCCTATGGCTGGGTTTCAGCTCCAAAAAGTTAGAATTCCAGTATGTACGGTAGCAGGTACTAGCTACATGTTGTAGGATAAGGCAGGCCATATTTTATGTTCATTAATTTTGTAAACCAAGTATGTGTCTGTTCATCTTAAAAACACACCAGAGCTGCCATGTCCTGTCTATGGAAAGCCGCGGTTTTGATTCCTCTGCAAATTGCGGAGAGTTTTGAACTATGTTAGAAATAGTCTTCCTGCCTGAAACACATTAACTTTGCTGCTGCTAGTGTGTCTTTGTAGTTAGCTGGCTACTTTTAGACTTTAAAATATGTGGTTCTTAGCCCAATGCCTATTCATTCTCTATAAAAAAATACATCTTCAAACAAAACGTCCTTACCACTTTTTAACAAACATTATTAAAACAGCAAAACATAGTGAATTAGTTGGGCACTATTTTCAGCTGCTGATGAACAAACATTTGTCATAGTGAATATTTGCTACAGTAGGACAGTGAACCTGGTATTCATTAAAGAGCAACTTCCAGGTTAAAGACATCTGTGAATAAATGTGTAGGAAAATTATGAATACACTAGATTTTCCAAAAAATATACAGACATATACACTACAGTGACATCTGGTGTCGTTTTTGTAAGAAATGCCTCGGATCGTGACCTCCCGCGTGTGACGTAACAAGGGGGAAACAAGGGGGAGAGCGGCCGGTGTAACGTATTAATAAACATGGATCCCAATGCTAGTTTCGACACAGAAGACGTTGAACATGAATATTCGAATGCATATGACGGACCACAACCTTATAATTATAAGCCTGCTAGGCGTCCAAGAGACCAGGAGCAACCAAGGATTAGAATAAATAACGGCCATCGGAGAGAAATTGAGCTGTGGTGTGAGGAGAACCAGTGGAGAACTGGGCAGCTATCTTGGTGAGTGACCGGCGTTAGCTACAGAATGTTAGCTAACGTCACATCACAACATTGT